ATGACGCTACGCACGGTGGATCGAGTCAATAGGAGAGGCTGGACAAAATTTGGAAACTTTAAACGCTTATAACTCCGTTTATACAAAACTTTAAGATTCCAAAAGTTGTTTCATTGGTTTCCTAGTAAAATTCTCTACTATCAGCATCCCTTGAAATTGGGAATGTGACGAAATAAACATCAAAATTAGCGGTTTAAGTCAAAAATTTCTTTTCCGACCTCTCTGAATGACTCGATCCTTTGTGCGACGCGGCCCTACCCTGAGAATGGAGTGCTCTAGACCGTGCGTAAATGAAACAAGCGATGATGAGTTTAGTCCATTTAATTTGACAGAAAACTCCACTCATGCCCCGGATGACGGATTCAGTTCCGAGTTCCCGTGGGAGAACCAATACCTCTAGTATATAACGTCGCTCCTGTTCCACACCATAACCCTATCCGACTTGCTTCGTTTTCTAGCAGGTATGTCAATGCCACCCTCGAGAAATTTCGGTGTTAGTATTTCCGCTATACTCCCAACTGTAATTTGTTCCACCGCACAAACACTGTGTTGCCAAGTGTCCGATAAGCATGAAGCAAGGGCCGCGGCATGTGAATCAAATTGATGAATTTTAAGATATCTATGGGCAATGCTATCACCTCTCCTCATCCATTGCCCCAAAATTGAGAGACACTTTAGGTATCCATCAGGTTTTAAACAAAAATAAAAAAAATTAGCGCCACCTGTCCCGCCGCACAATGGAACGAGCCAATTCAAGAAGTCGGACAAAATTTGCAAACTTTAAAAGCTTATAACTCTGTAAATACAAGACGTTGAGGTTCTTAAAGTGGTTACATTGGTTTTCTGGTAAAATTTACTAAAAGAAAAACCCCTTAAAATTTGACAAACTGAACATCAAAATCTGCAGGTTTTAGTCCAAATATTTAAGTCCGTTCTCTCGCATTGACTCGATCCACTGTGCGCCGTCCGACGGAGAAAAATAGAAGGAACCACACGTGCATAATTAAAAAAAAAAAAACTCTTTATACGAGGTTTTTTTGTCCTTCTGCAGTATAGTACCTGTACAGTATTTTCTTTTTCTCATTTTATTTTATGCAAGGCTCAAGAAGAGTATCAAGAAATATCATGGAGGTCTTTAATCAAATATATTACAAACAATCCTTCGCTCGTGGGGAAAGGAAAGTGCAATACCTGAAAAATTTATATTTTATTAATTTCACCGAAAAAAAAGAAGTGTTACGCCAACAACCGACACCGCTGATTTTACGACCCGAGGTTGTTAAAAAAATGTGCCAGGATGGCATGCGTTACTTTTACAGCTTCAGTGGATGTTAATTTACACACCTGATAGATGTTTCTTTGACTAATGAGGACGGAAAATTTACGTCCCTGGAGACGTGAAATTAACCCCCTTGAGGATATGGAATTTACGTTCTGCCGGTCGTAAATTTTAAGTCTTCGGGGTCGGAAAATTTACGACGTTGAAAGCGTAAATTTCTCCTCGTCGGGGACGTAGATTTTACGACTTCAGGGACGTGAATTTTACGACTTCGGGGGCGTGAATTATACGCCTGGGACGTGAANGTAAATTTTACGTCCCCGAAGGCGTAAAATTCACGTCCCCGGAGGCGTAAAATTCACGTCCCCGGAGGCGTAAAATTCACGTCCCAGGCGTAAAATTCACGTCCCTGAAGTCGTAAAATCTACGTCCCCGACGAAGTGAAATTTACGCTTTCAACGACGTAATTTTTCCGACCCCGAAGACTTAAAATTTACGACCGGCAGGACGTAAAATCCACATTCTCAAGGGGGTTAATTTCACGTCTCCAGGGACGTAAATTTTACGTCCTCGATACCCTCTTTACCTCGATAATGAGGAAATAGCCACGTTGGTAAAAAGTCAAAAGTTCACAGCAAGAAGATTGCATATTACTACAAACTACAAGAGTAGCTGCTCACAGTTCAGTTTTCCGAACTCCTGAAATAAGTGATGTAGGCAACATTTAACTCAGTGCAACGCAAGAGGTTATCGTTGCTTTCTGAAGGCGCTCACGTCGTGCGGCAATAATGCCGCGAATGTAAGCTCCGGCTCCGGACTGAATTATTAAAGTGATTATTATGTGATATTAAGTGTTATTTAAGGTTGACTTCATTTTCTTTTGATGGAGGTCTCATTATCAATAGTAGAAGAGTCATCTGACGACCAAAAATAATCAGTAAATTTAGAGGATGTATGCAATTAGCAGATAGAGCATTGCAAACTAGAAAATCATGAGTCGGCCAAATAAAGTTGGTTCTTGGAAGTCTGGCTCTGGTACGCCTGGTTCAGCTGATCAGGGACTCAAACTAATGTACGCACACCTTTCTCAGAAATTAGTGCCGGATTTATGAGATTTTTTTTTTTTTTTGACTGGTGGGATATTGATTTAGTTACCTTATGAAGGAAGGGGGTCTCGAAGACACCCATACGCTAAAAGAGGGTCCAGAGGAGGACCTGGGTAATTGTATAAAAATTTAGAGTAATATTTTTAGTCCTTTATTTGTTTACTGAAACCACTCTTTCTCTTCGGTTAGCGGTGAAGCATGCTGTATTTCTGCACGTACATGACCGCGTTTAGTCATTTTTTATCACTTCAATGGCTCTAAAATAATATTCATCAAACGTTTTACATATCAAAAGGAATGAAGCAAATGGTCTAATGAAATTAATCGACCTAAGACAGAAAATAAGGAAGAAGAAAAAATATCAATCCAAAAGTTAAGATAATTGTAAATTATTTAAGAAGAAGATATTTTCGTATTGCGATTCTACTCATTTAAGGGATACCTACGAGATAAAACTTATACTTTGGGACTTCAAAAAAACTAATGTATGCCACAGTCTGTAGAAGGAATGACCTCCAGATGCCCAAAACTTTTTATTTTACGCTATAAGTTTCAAATTGGGACAATCGACCCACCCGTATTTAATTACATTGATTTTGATAGTTTTTTAAGTATTTTTTATGTTTTTGAAGGTAAGGAATACTTACTTTGAAATGTTTAACTCATTGGTGACATGCTGGAGCTTTCTCACCCCTCTTCGACATCTGTCATATGTAAATCCCCCAGAAGAGGATAGTCGTGTCAACTAGACCCCGCTTGGGGTTTCTAGGGATAGTCCAAAAAAAAAAAAAAAAAAAAAAAAAAACAAAAAAAAATCCTTAACACGATACAACCCTCTATAAGATACCAGGTTATAGACGTGCTTTTTAAATGAGCTTTTGACGACCGCTATTTTTTTCTTTCTTTTTTTTTTCTCTTTTTCCAAAATGATTCTTGATTGCGTAACACTAGCGCATATTTTGAGCAAACTTTTAAAATAAGAGGCACAACAACGCGTGTTGATGACAGCGCAGAGATTCAACTATTCGTACTTAAACCGTTTTGCATCTGCAAAATTGAGGGCGCGATGCGAAAGGCGTGAACTCATAATTCTCAACTCAATGCTGCCAATGAGGTGAAAGCTCGGATTCAGGAGAAAAGTTATAAAACGAGGCAGGAACGTCCGATGTCTTCGAAGCGCCACTACAAATAAAACAAACCGAAACAACACAACATGGCAACAGAGTGTAAAGGAGAGAGCGCGCGTTGATGACGGCGCAGAGATGCGACTATTTGTACTCGATGGATGTGCGTGTCGCATCCGCAAAATTGAAGGCGCGATGGCGCGAAGAGTGAACTCGCAATGCTCCGCTGCGCTGTTCAATTCTAAAATTTTAAGACACCTGCACAAAGGAACTTACAAAATAATTTTGTTGTTTCGTGAAATATATCAAGCCTGATCTTTTGCAAAGATTTATTCTTGAACATTTCAAAATGATTAATGTATTTATTTAAAAGACTGCTTCGTGAAACGCTGGAATGAAGCATGCATACGATCCGTCCATGCTTAGTAGTTTAATGCGGGAAACATACTAGCTATAGCTATTGAATTATTGATGAGAGGCACGTTTCCAAGAAAAAGACCTAGTAGACGTTCATGCAATCATGATGTGTTTTAAAAATTAGTCTACAGCATGAAATCTTCCTTGAATAGATTCTTATCAGCTAAGTGCACTTATTCGTGATGAATGACGAATGAATATGAATATTTTTTCTGTATTAGCTTGTATCAGACATATCGATTAAAGTAAATAAAATCGAGTAGGCTTGGGCATAGATGGCGTTTAAATATGGTTTAAATGCTCTCAAAGGAATGTGCAGAGCTCACACTTCTGGTCCAGATCCATCATCTAACGTAACAACCTCTAGTTATGACAAACACTCTGAGTATCTGAATAATTTTAACCGGAGGTCGAAACCCTTAGTTCCAATAAGTTCCACCAGAATCGAGAATGTCCTCCGAAACACTAACTTTATCTTAAAAGTTCTAAAATCTCCAAGGCCAGCGCCTTAAAATTTGCTTCAACAAGAAGATCAATTTGACCAGAGGTGGTAGGAAACTCTGGACCCAGGAGTCCTAGGATCTGCTCTTATTAGCCGGCTGACTTTAGCAAGAGACAGTTTTCATGAATTGATTCTTGGCGATTCTTGCAATTATCGACAAGAAAAAGAGGGGCCAGATTTTTTGCTTCATTTAAAAGCTGGCATATTTTTAAGTAACATACGTACCTACTTAGTTTGCTCTAAGCTACTCCAGCCTGCTGTTACTAATTTTGGCGGGTTTTATTTGAATGCACTGCCGGTTGCGGTAGTGCCACTTCATTCTTGCTGAGGGAGTCGTATAAAATTCTATCATTATGCTGTATTGGTCTTGAATATTGAACGATATAGATTGATGATTTTTTAAACCTCAAGTTTTTAAACATACACTCAAAATTTTGCCTCATAGGCTCAAGGTTTTATTATCCAATGTGGTCCCAGATGCTCGTATTATGTTGGCAGTATACGTGTCACATGATACACGTTATCACTAAGGTCTGTTTGTTTTGAAAGAGGGTTACGTTTTCAGTTTTTTCGTCATCCGATCCATGTAATTGTAATTTGCTCGCTATTAATCATAAGTATTAATAAGTACTTATTTGACTTTGATTAGATTGTCACGTCTGTTAAGTAGTAATCATGAATCAGGACATTACTCAGTATGATTTCCTAGTAGCCTTACTCTGTCATAGTTTTTTATCGTAGCAAAATGCAGTGATCAAAAGTTAGCTCCAACTAAGTAAATATTTGTCATTTATGATCCTCATTAACTACTTTTCTGAAAGTAGGAAGTCTGTTCAATTCGTGTAGTTACTGATCATGTATTCTCAACTTAGTTACTGATTTCGCACCAAGAAATGTTACACAAGTTCGCCAAGGACAAATTAAGTCTAATCTGTAAGTTTGCTTGTTGATTTAAATGGTAAAACTTTTCCTTATGGGTGGAGTCTCACACATTTGCTCCAAGGATTTGAGTAGAAATTGCTCGTGGGAAATGTGCACAATGGACTCATCATTAGAACTTGTGAGCAGATGCCAGAATAAAGGCATGTGTGCGTCTCTAAGGTTCTTTGATAAAATCTGACTATCCAAATCCTAAGAAAGGGTGCCATGTGGGCAATAGCTGAATGCTTCTTCTTTTGATAGATCTTATGACTCTCTAGAATTTTACTGTTATTCGGTACCGGTGTGTCTCTTTTTTATCCACTTAATTATTACAATATCACAACTACCTACTATCAGTTAGTCTGTCAGATTGTGTGACATTAAAATAGAGAAACACAAGTTGAGTTACCATGTCGCATGGTATACTATGGGAATTTTCAAGATAAAATTATCAGTGGACTGTGTTGAACCAGTGTCTATCCGACCTACCTTCGCCCAATGACCAAGTACTCATAAGCAAGGTAGCTCCGAGTGCCTCGGCTAATGCATGGATGCTCCTAAACAACTCTTCAAACTTCACACCATATTGATAGAACTTTCTTGAAGGAGTTAGTATTGCCTGTTTTCGCAGTAACTGAATTATAAAGTCTCAGTGAATATTTCTTGCAAGCACTGTCCTCTCTCTAGTTTCAAATGGTTTCAATGTGTCAATGCATACGTAATACCTATTTGACAAATATGTAATTGAATCTTGCTTTTGATTTCAGTTTTAACCTTACTGCTGCTGATTGAGTTTGGACCAGTGCCACACCTTCAGAACATAGGATTTTACTGTGGAGACCCCAAAATCAGTCACAAATTTACTGGTGATACCATCAGAGCAAGAACTCTAATAGCGATCTCTTTCATAGCTCCATTTTTAGTGGTATGTATTTGCCCTTGTCATCACTGAATAACTCTTGAGTAGGTAAACAGAATTGTGATAGTCAAGAAACGTGTTTTTTGATCATGTTCATTAAGGGGCATGTTATTTATGGAGGTCTTTCTATTCTGTATAAGTCTTACTATCAACATCTCTGTTTCTGATGCCAAAAGAATTGGACTACACTTTGCATTTTGGAACCACAATTTCTAGCTCATCAGTAAAGGAAGTTATGCGCATAGGGTAACTAATGGTACTGAAGGTACTTACTTTCTCCATACTCTGTCAGAAATTTTAGTTCCCAGTTACAGAATGTAGTTCAATTGTCTTCCTCAGGGATTCATTGAAAATCTCCATGTCTCTGCCGTACTGTGCATGGCCTGACTCAAATAATCGGAGCAACAAAGGTTTCTTGTCCATGTAAGAGAATAGTATGAAAATTAATCAGAAATAAAATTTCAACTGCTAATATAGAGAAATGCTCTTCTGTCGGTTGTTATGTTGTTATTGTCATTGTTGATAGTTGCCCAGAAATATTTAAACACTGTTACTAGTGTAAAAACTGGCATTGCAATTCTAGTAAATCTTTGTTCAAATCTGACTTTTCTACGAATAAAACGCATGACAAACCTCTAGACATTTTGGGGGCTGTTTCAACATTACACCTGTAATCAAAGTGATTCGCTAAAATATATGCCACGATCTATCTTCTAAAAATGAGATGTGTCTGGTCAAAAGCCTCTCAAGTGCAAGTGTTAAATACATTAGAGTAACTAATTGGAGATCGAAAAGAACTGAATTTCTGAGGGTGAAAAATTAGTCAACGTTAGAGAGAGGGGAATACTTCCATTGCATTTGGAATTTTGAAAGAGATGACTGGACCATCCGATGTAAACAAGCACATATTTAAACTGTGTCTAATGCCTAGATTTTTTTCTTTTTTGAATAATAAAATATTTTTTTTTGTGTGGCACTAAAGAATTCAATGTCACTCTTTTAACAAATATCTTCAGAAATATTTGTATTTGTACATCTTGATATATTTTGTTAAATTCATGACTTTGACATTATAATTTTTTTCTTCTAGTGTTGTTTGATCGAGTATAGCAGAAGCTCCAACCGGCCAGACAGATACGGTGTCAGTCGACTGAGCTGGTTCAGACGAGCATTACTATGGTACAAAGAGTACTTCATTGGTCTTCTTTTCTGTTATGTAATTATAGACGTGGCAAAGGTCATCGTCGGAGAGCCTCGACCTCATTTCTTGGACACATGCCAACCGGCTCAAGCTGTGAATTGCACTCAGGGGTGAGATTCATAATTATTTTAACAACATTGGAGAACTCAATTGTCTTTATTTTTGTTTTTCACATTGTAGCATTTATCATTGAAGCTTCGCATCAGTTTAAGGTATACACCATAAAGTTGGGTAACACGATTTTACTCCCATTGAAAAGATGAATGTCAACAAGGTTCAGCTATAGGTTTATCTTTGTTGCAAAAAGCTTTTTCGATACAGCTCACCAACTTAGATCGTAGAATGGTCTACGTATATCTCCACTTTTGCTGGAAAAGCTTGTACCTCAAGCATTAAGGATCCATTTGCAAAGGTACTTTTCATGATTCAAGCTTTTCTTGCTAAGAAACTGCCACACTAAAAATATTTTTCCTGAAAATAGGTACTTTTCCTTAAAATCTGTGAAATCTGTGTGGATTGAACATGCATTTGACCCACAGTTTTTTTTTAAAAAGGCCAGACAGTGATTCTTGTTGCTGTTTAGATGATGTCTGCTGAGGACAGTCAGCAGAAATGGTGAAGACTGGTTGCATCTGACAGTCTGAATCTCTGACTGACAAAAAAGATTGAAAAAGTATGTTGCTGTTATAGTAAGCGCTAACAATTTTACAGTTAAAACAAGTATGATCATCACAACTTCATATCGAATGTACATCAAACCTGTAAAGAAAAAATTGCAGTATCAACCTTGCCAATGTTTGCAATTGTAGATCATGTTTCTGATAAAATTTTCATGCATACATTGTTGGCAGTATGATTTTCCTGCTGAGTTGACTACATACCTACAATTTTACTGATTTTTCTAAATTTTTGCAGATACATTGCACATTACACTTGCACAAATAAAATGTTGAGTGGCTACCTAATCAGAGATTCGTATAAATCTTTTCCATCTGGACATGCTGCATTCTCGGTGTACAGTGCTGTTTTTACCATTGTGAGTATAGTTATTCTTGCCAGAGTATCAAGACTTAAATTTTGTGATTGAATTTCTAGGGAAATGAGATTACCTTCCAGAATGGAGTCCTCAAATTGTTGCCATAGGAAAAGGAGTTGCTTGAGGCTTTTTACTATATATTTAAAGGCACCTACTCTAGAAAGACATCTGTTTTAAAATTGAGTTTTGCAAGTAAATATGGAGAGACTGAGGAGAATTGCTCTTTTCAAGATTTTTATCAATTATAAAAATTTACGCAGGGATGTAGGTATAAAGTGGGCACTGGCATTCCTGTTCTTTGTAAAAGTGAACAATATAGATATCTACAGCCAATGAGAGGTATGAATTGTGAACTAGTTGTTCACCACAACAAACCTGTCATGCAGAGCATAGTGGAGCGCATGAACATCAGAGAATTATAGTTCAGTACCAATGTTTCATTTCAGCGCAATTTAAATCCTTCTTTTAACACTATTTATTTCATCAACAAGGAAGGTTCTTCTTTTGAAACTCTTTGAATATGTACAAGTTTCATTGATTCTCCATCAGTATTCATGATTTCATCAATTTTATGAATTCTGTTTGTAGAATTTTAGCCATTATAACTTCATATTTTCACTTTGTATGAGGAAACTGGCAAGTTTAAAAACAAGATTTTTCCATAAGAACACGCAGACAATTTAATTCTTGCCAAGTGTGACAGATCAATGGTTAATGGCTGTCTTGTGCAAGTACCTACTCTAGATCCAGATCTCTAAAATCACTCATACGACTCCTTTTTTTTTTGAGTGGTGTACCTGCTTCTTTCCCATTGGAACTGTTATTCCCAACGTATGCATAACATTTGGAATGGAGTAATTGTGCAGTTAAATCCTTGAAAAATCTTGGGTATAAGGAATGAATTTTATTGTGTTAAAATGTCAAAGCGGTTTTTATTTACAGAATTCTAATTGTAGGTAGCTTTAAATGCAACTACAAAGTAAAAATGTAAAAACAGACTAGCACAAAAAAGGTCCCAGTTGCATCGTTAATCGGTGCTGTCTGTGGGAAGTATATGATATTTTTTTAGATCAATTTTATACACATGCTATAGACAATTCGCAATCCAAGGCAATTTGTGATCAGCTTGCAAATTGCCTCTTTTGCAATATGCATATCGTATGTGTAATTTACTTCATTGGCAATATGCATATTACCTATGCAATTAGCGAGCTGTTTAAGTGATGGAATGGAAAATGATAACTTGATAAGGAATCATTGGCAACACTTCAGAATTCGCAGATGAGCTAGCAGCTTCAAAACCAGGTATTTGCACTAGCTCCCTGCGTAAGCACTAGGAGCAAGGGGAGGTCCAGATTTTCAATTGCTTGCCCTGATAGGAAATTGTTGGTGACAGGTCACATGATATCACATGAGTGCACATTGACCTCATTCTTGTGCTTCAAAATTCAATGTTGCCTCTTGTAGATATAACAGGTGTATAATAGTTTTTGTGGTATTTTCAGTGGTATTTGCAGAGGAGGATGATTCCTGTAACTTACACTCTACTACCTTTATTGCAAATACTGTGTATTGTTTGGGCTCTTTGTTGCTCTTTGACAAGGATTACAGATCGTAGACATCATTGGTGGGATGTTTTAGCAGGATCTATCGTAGGTGTTGCTACATCAGTGTATGCTGTGAGTATTTCAAATCTTTCTTTTTATTCCAATCAGTCTCATTGTTTGAAATTAAAGTGAGAAAAATTAGATTGATATTTTACATCCATAAAGAAGAAAATAAAAACCCAAATGCACCTTGCAATTATATATATGAGAAGTTTCTTTAAACCAATCATAGCCATGAACTTGGAAATCTTGATATTTTGTTACACAGATAACTTCATGGAATGTGGCTTCATGAAGTGAACAAATTCAAGCAAAGACCTATAAAGTAAAAATTTGACTGCATTTTGCAGTAAGAAACCAAGCCACAGCAGTTATTGCCAATTTTAACCGGGAAATTTAATTTTTTACAAGAAAACGTTTGTGCGGATTCCTTCGAAAATGTGAAGGAATTTATTTTGTACTATGCAGAAAATTTGCTGAAATTTGCCCAAAAATCCGCTTAACCGTCTTAATGTAATAATTAAATTGCTCTATTAAATTTGGCAATAGCTGATGTAGCTTGGTTCCTTTCTGCCTAAGACAGTCCAATCGATTGATAACAGATAAGCAGAATAGCCGTAAATGTTTATTAAAATGAAAATCACATTTTCATTCCGCCGAAGCTTTTTGACCCTACACAGTTATCATCAGGGTAAAGATTACAACATAGCATAAAATAGAAAACTACAAAGCAGTTAACAAGCACTAACTTTACAAGCAAGCAACCACATTTTACAAGTAGAAAGAAAGAAAATTAGCGAATTCTCGTAATCTTTACCCTCATAGTTGTGTGGGGTCGAATAGCTTTGGCGGAAAATGTGATTTTCAACATTGTAAACATTTACAGCACATGGCTATTCTGCTAATATTAATTAATTAATGCTGTCAACTACATAATGTTTGGTCCAATTGTTGATAGTCCATATTAATTTGACAGTAAGGTTTTTCCTCCATAAATGAAGAATCTGAAATTTTTTCCCTCTTTTCTTAAGTTTTTTTCCCTTCTCAAGAGTATCATCTTATGAGGAAGATTCATTTGCATAAATTTACTTGGAATATTTACTCTGTATCAAAACTTCTTCTTTTTTACCGGACAGCAAGGGGTTTGAAAGGTTAGAAAGTTCATCTAACATTGTGAGAGTGAAAATTTCTGAGTGAATTTCAAAGAGCAAATTATTCAGAGAAATACAATGGTAAGAGGCAATCAGCCAGAATCCATGATTTTAAAAGAAAATATGCACATACACTTAATCTACAGAGTGATCTTAAAGTCCTGCTCTACCACTGTAACTTCTGAGTGAGTTTAGATAACCGCCTCTTTATGTTCTTTTCTATAATTTATCGCAAGTGCAGGGTCATTATTTGAGATAGAAAAGTAAGCACACCCTCTGCAAGGCGGTCCTCCCAAAATTTTGAGAGGTCCTAAAAGTAGTCTCCTTTAACCTATTTGCATGAATCACCCTGTACAATACTATCTAAATTAAAGTACATATGTCTTTAATCAAATTAGGATTAATTTTCTAATATTTGAACTCGTTGGAGGGATAAAATGTATGATCTTAGCTCAGCAGAAACTTTTTTTTGAAGAAGCTCAGGTTTTTGCGCTTATTCACTATAAAAAATTTTGGAAATTTTTTCCCCTTTTAATTCTTTTTAGTGGAACCTGTTATAGAAGAATGAGGTAATTTTTTTATTTTGACTTTCATAGTTGTAATTCTAATACTTAACAGTTAATTTTAACAACTTCAACTCTATTCTGTCATTTGAAACGAGGGGTGCATTCTGAATTTCAAGGAGCATCTACACTTATTTTAGTGGCCTCTTTAATATTAATATCTCTGAACGGGGTTGAATTTTTGGAACTGAAAATTTTCCAAGTTGTTATGGGAGATTTCATTGATTGCTACTCGTAAATGAGGCTAAGTTGTCATATAATCTGTAATCAAAATTTGGTTTTTTGTTTCAGATCAAAATTTTCTGCTGTGATTTTCAACTTGACAGTTATCAAAATCTGCTGAAAGTTAAGAACACTGTCAGTGATGTTAAAGAGAACGGGATTTTGCATAGAAATGGCAATGTCAGGCAATTGTCTGTTCGAAGATTATTAACAATGCCCACCGGAATCGTTGATGGTCATCATGAGTTGAATCAAGTTCATAGCTGAAAATTGGATTTAATGATGTCTATAACATCACTGAAAGAAATCATTAAGACCATAGACCGTGTATTTCCTAAATCACCAAGTGTTTTGATGTCACTGTTCTTAGCAATCAAAGTTTTTCCAGTCAGTGCTTGCAAAAACCAAATACTTTGATGGTATACTAGTCCATTGTTTAATGTAATGACATCCTCATATGTATTTTATTTATTTTCTTCTTATCCAAATTAACCGCTAAAAAGAAGGTCTTGAGAAGAGAAGAGTGAAATCTTGAAAGTGAATGTTTTTGATCAGCTAAAACCATGGGATGGATCCTAGAACAAGTTTTCAATGGAAGTCTCAAGCAAAATTTATAAACTCCATCAAAAATAATTGATCTGTATTACTGGGCTAATAGTGGGATTAGTCACAATCTGAATGATGGGGAAGAGCTTTTACTTGAGTGCTTTTTTTTTTCTTACTATGTAATTCCAGGACAGAATTATTTTATATAAATATTTTTGTTTAAGTTTGACTTTTAAATTGCGTACAATTGGGGGAAAATTTGAGAAAGAAAAAAAATTTTGAGACTTTGATTAAGTCAGCAACATTATCCGTCCCTGAACTTAATGTTTAAACCCTCATTATCAAAGATGAAGAGCCAAAATTTCATTCAAACAAGTTAACTACAATATTTTTCAACTCATCACCTTAGATAGGGTACAAAAAAAAGTGGTAAGGCAGCAGTTTTAAGATTTGGTTTTCTCTACTTTAAAAGGAGGCTACCGTGAGATTTAGACACGGTTTCATGCCATAAATGACCCATTCTTGCAATGATTCTCATCAGACTTTGTGATTTTCCCCATTATGTCGGAATGTATGTGTTTTCACCGTTACACCCCTGCTCCTCATGTTTTATCTATGGCGACTAACTGCACCAAATTATGTCTTGTCCCATCATTCATTCTATTGTCTTTTGCCAGATTCAACCACCTTAAAAAAATAAAATTTAATCCCCTAATCAATAAAGCAAAACTTTCAATGTCGTTTTGAAAAATATTAGGGGTTAAATACCAAATTTTATAGTCCAAATAATATTATTAACTCTTGTAGAATATTCTGTTACTGAAACTAGGAAGTAATGGAAAAATTGGCTACTGCTGATGGCCCCTAAGTTGAATTATCCTTACTGCAAGCCCTTGGGAATCACTCCAAAGCAAAGGCTCAGACATCATGACATCAACCTATTATGTATCTGACCAAAGTCTCCAGAGCAGACGTTAGACCCCAGCCTTTTTCCACAATCCCCTCTTCCTTTGAAGAGAGTAAACAAATGAGTAGAAGTCCTTTAATCAAATCCGGTGCAATTTATGGTCAATCTTAGATATTAGATCTTAAACTTCATTTTCTCCTTGCTAATTTTAAAATTGAATTTTAATAGAAAAATAATTCCGTTCGTTCTGTTTAGTTCTTCAATTTGATGAGATTTTATTTTTAGAATTGCTCTCAACACTTTCTCCTTCTCATTGAACAAATGAACTTACGCAGGATCTGCATTTAAGTTTACATTGATTTTGGCCAAATACGTTTTTTTGTTGTGAAACAAAGAATTTTCTTTTCTATTCAATGGATAAAATTGGAACTAAATTCACAATATTTTAATAAAATCATTCATGAATTCTTAATCATCTAGCTTTAAAGTCAGATTTTAATTTTATTTTGGGTAGATAAAGACAAAATAGACTGAGATCATGGATGTAGACATTGCCTTGTCTCTCATGAAAAAGTCTGATATATGAGGGTCAGAATCCCTTGATTTTAAAGAGCAGCAGAAGATAACCAGTATTACAATGAGAAGAGTTTCTCATTTCAAATTATTTTCAAATCAGTTTATTGTGTGCATTTTTAGTATGTAAGATACAAATATTCTTTAAATTTTTGTAAATTTTACTGTGATATTAGAATTCATATTGGTAAGTATTGATTTTAATTTTGTCAAAAAAAATTGAATAAAGTTTATTGCCACTGTCTATTGTCGTATATTAAATGTCTATTCAAGTCTCTCTGTAGTAAGATACTTGTGTTATTGCCATTTTTTTACAGTCCCGTTTAATTTAATGAGGTACTCTCAATAATTGTATTTATTTATGCTAAAAGGAACTTTGTGCATAGGGATTGCATGCAACGTAGTTCTTTTTAGCATAAATACGTCCAATTACCCACTCTGTGTTCTCACTTTGTTCTAATCGCGTCATAGGATTCCAGGCAACTGGACATAATATAAATTTCGTATGAATTCTTAGTTAGTGTTTTTCATTAAAATAAAATAAAATAATGAAAAAAAAAACAAACAAATGTAATTTCTCCTCTCAAATCTTAACTAATCAAAATGCAACTAGATTTCCTGTATTGTTTGATTAATTAAAGACCCAGTTTATCGCTGGGAAAAAATTATGACTGTCGACATTTCTTAAATCAGATTTTTCATCTCTCTTTATCAAGCTTCATTGCCATTCAAGTTGCATTTCGGTCACCTATGCTAGTCTTTACCAGGGAAATTTTGGGAAATGGCAGGTTAACGAATGGTGATATTAATATCAGTGATGATAGATAGGTAAAGTTAAAATAAGGAGGGTGAAAATTAAGCCCACAAATGCACAGTCAGGTGCAAGGAGGCCCCCAGTTAGAATATTACAGTTTCTAAAGTTTTATTTGCGTTTTTCAAGTACCTATGTAAATTATTTTAACTTAATGTAGTAAAGAACTGCTAGACTTTTTACCCCGATAAAACCTCATCAAATGTGAACGCAATATTATTTGAGGGCCTTGAAGAACAAGGCACATAAGTGCAGTGTTTGAAAAAACTTAAGATATTCATGATTTCAAGTGAAACTTAGTCTCAATGCATACCTATATTCCATGAAAAATTGCCTCCGAAATTCCAATTTTTAAGCACCAGAAAGTCAGTTTGACCTTTCTTACCGCCATAAGGATTTATGTAATTTCTAAACTTCAAACACGTAGGTATTTCTCGAAATAGCAAAAACTGCTCTTATGCGCCATTTGCCTCCTAGCCTCTCATTTGAATTTTCATAAATTAGACCTACATGTTGCAATGCGGAACTACAAATTCTTACTCAATTTATTTGTACCACTCGTCTCCCTGTGTACATGAGTAAGTAGTTTTACGAATAATCCAGAGATTAATTGTACTCAGTGGCGTAGACAGGGGGAGGGGGGGGGTCCAGGAGGCCTGGACCCCACCCTTTAACCTCGTTAATTGTGCCTTTTTTTTAACTTTTGGAGGGTAGACATAAAATATCATTAGGGACGTAAGTCAGGGGCGTAGCTAGGAAATTTCTCTGGGGGGGGGGGGGG